TATATATATATTGGTTATTATACAACCTTTGACATTTGTGCAACCAATACAACACAATCTCAACCGTCCATTTCATTTGATTAATATGTGATTTCATAGAAGTTTTGATTGTTTTCTAATATAAATTATTGATCATAATTAATTAACCATATTCATCTTTCATAAATATTCAAATCATAATAAATAAACTCTCATCATTTCCATAAATATCTCAATTTATTGGGTTGTACTGTATATATATATACATGATTATATTGTAATAATATACTATATATACATGATTATATTGTAATAATATACTATATATACATGATTATATTGTAATAATATTATAATCAATTTATATAAATACAAATATATGAGAGAGCGACACGTATGAAAAATAAACAAGATATTGCAGTTTTTGTATATGAGATGGGTGTGAATTGATTAAAGAGAAAACAATTACATTTCTTTTTCTTTTTTCTAATTAACCTGCATATCCAACCCGCTATACGAGCCGACTAATCCCAGGACGACCACCTGCTTTGCAGATAGCTCGGAGTCACCGCATTTAAACCTCCATGGCCACAAGAGGATTTTTATTCCTCCTTGGATTTCAACCTGGTACCTCCTAGTACTTTTGACGAGTCAAGCTCAAACCAATCAGACACCACATTTGTGGTTCAATTACATTTCTTTGTATCAATTGAGTTGGTTGAACAACGTATTTATATTTATATTTATATTTATATTGGTGGTAGTAACAAATTATTAACGTACCACATGGATGTGAATATTTATATGAAGGGACAACACAATTTTTTGAGGAGGCTAAATAACAAAACAGTTGATGGATGCAACAAACAAATGTTGTACCAATTTCCTTGTTTCATAAAAATTAACATATTCCTATCACCATACACAATACCATTAATCAACTTCAATTATACACAAAATGACTGCATACATACATATATATATATATATATATATATATATATATATATATATCACAATTACAACTACTTTTTTACATACAGGAAAAACAAGTTTTTTTCTTATATATAATGATTTGAAGTTACGAGTCCTAATGGTTGGGAATACCAATCCAGAGAAGAAGCCTTCGCGGGCGATCAAGAAACCTTGCCTGCCATGCGGGTTCTTCACTCTCATAAGTGAACCCACATTTCGTGTACAGATTTCTGGCCGCATTATTGTCAACAGCAACATGCACATACAAATCACTAATCCCTGAAACATCCACATCCGCACTGCTTGATTATTTATTAACGAAACTTCTGTGGAATGAGTATATCAACAAAACAGATTTTACCCCAATCTTGTGCTACTGATTTTGATTTCTCCACAAGCAACAAACCAAGCCCGTTCCTCTGGCATTCCTTCACAACACATACATTACTTAGATACCCCCTCGCAATATCACCCTCGATTCCCTGTTTTTCATTCCAATTCCAAGAATCAGATGCTAGCATTAATATTTAGCACAACAATTTCAAAACGCATCGACTACATCAAATTACAACTTCTCTCTTCTGCTTGTAATTGATCAGTTAAGTAATTATTTTAATACTGTGTTTATGGTTGACACTGTTCTCCTTTGCTTCTCAGTCTTCACTTATTTGAATTCAAAAAACACCAAATCTCTAATTTTGCGAGGAAGGGAGATTATGCATATCCTTGAAGAATCTAGGTAGCATCTGAATAGTCATGGAGCTACAACAAGAAGGCAACTAAACACATACCAATATGGTCGTGCAGAAATATTCAAGAGCCATCTATGGTACATGAATGAATTATGAATGACAACTACAATTGTGTAATGTTTAAAACTTAGGTGAACAACAGAAGTATGATATCCAGTAATTTAGAAAAGCATGGGATTGACTGACAACATACAAAGTAGCTTCATTAGTCAACAGATTCATATCAAAATGGTGGTTTATATCAAATATAAATTACATAACATTGAATCATATAAAAATGGTAGTTATATGCAGTCTTTGAATCTACTCTGAAACTTGAGTTTCAAATGGAGGCTTCCATATATTCAATAGGATTTGGGTGAAAGAAATACCTTTGGCTTTATTCCTGTTATCTCATTAGGGAGGCTCAAACACCGATTAAGATCCAGAGTCCCAACAACAACTCGATCTTCTCCATTGTCTGAAAACTACATAAAAGATTTATCGGGTAAGGGTTGGAACATTGCATCATATGACCAGGGGAAAATAATTTACAACAAAACATGCATCCACATCTGAAGTTGTATAAACCAAAGATGGATACTTGTGGCCAGGAGTGCACTGAGAAAATAAAAGGCCAACTGCCAACCGAATCAAGCAAACCACACCGTAAATGATTACAGTGGTTACATGTGGCCTTTTGGTCCAACGGATACCAGTTGCACTGTTTGAACCAAACGGTTGTAGGTCCAAGACTCAAAGTTCATATACATAATTATGTGTTGAGTTTTTTTTGTTTCTTTATCTTTGTCTTCTGTCCAAATAAAATGACTTAGGGCCCATTTGGTTTGACGGAATGTTCTTTGAGGGATTTGGATTTCGTAGAAGGATATGGAATTGGGAAAATTTGGAATCTTTGGAGTGTTTGGTTTGTAGGATTTGGAATGAAATTGAATTCTATTCTTTAGAAATAATTTATAAAAACAAATTATCGAAATAATTAAATTACCTTTTTATCAGTTGATTATTACAAAATAAGTGTCTTTAAGATATTTTAAAACATTATTACAAAAATCCTATGAAATCCCGCGAAGGGGTGGGTTCCGGTGAGAATGAGATTTGCATTGAGAAGGGGATCTCCACCCTTGGATCAATCCTAATTGAAGAGTTCCACTAGATCAACACTAATGAAAAGCACAAGATGAATTCCCTTCTAAAGCGAAATTCATGGGTTGGTTTGAGATAGAAAGTGATCAAGGATCCAAATCTCTTCTTACACTTCTCATCTTTAACTCCTATTTTCCCACGATCCTTCGTCATTTCACGAAATACCAACCACCCCCATGGGATTTCTAATTCCCATGTTTGTGGGATTCCAAATCCAAGCATTCCTTCAAACCAAAATATAGGATTGGAATGGAATTGAACTCCAAATCCCTCTAAATCATATCAAAACCCACAAACCAAACGGGACCTTAGAGTTATTCAATTCCAGTAGATCTTTGTTCCTTAAATTTTAGAGGTTTGGCTTGCAGCTTCTGTTACTTGTCTGCCAAACCGCTAAAGAATATATTTTGTTCTTTTTAATATTGAGGTATTAAGAATATGTAGCTATGTAAACATTGTTGTTTTGTATTTATACGATTTAAGTATATGGTATTGAAAATAAGTACGTATTAACAAAAGAAAAACCTAAAGTAAATTCCTAAAAGTTAAAATTGCAAATTTTCCCCCGCAGACGGTAAACTTACTTCTTACATACCTAGACTAATTTCATGTTTGAGTTGTATCCAAACTTTTGGATCAACAGTGGAGACCCAAATTGTCCACACAAATCTGGGACGACCAAGCCACTAAACAAAGTGTATCTTGGCAATTGGTGATTTGAACATTTGCCGGACCAGATATGGCGTTTGGTCCCAATACCAAGCAACCAACGCCTTACGGTACCTTAGATGAAGAACATAGCTCGTCTGGAAAATTCCTTGTTTGTGAGATTGGTAGTGTGGCATTGATGCAAGAGACCTTTTGACCTTCCTTTGTACCAGCAAGACGTTCTTTCAAAGCTTCAAACTCATGTTCAGCCAAATACTTTTTATGATCCTAAAAACTTAAAGAGGAGAAAAAAGCATCAGTATTGTTACATCAAAAAACCAAAAAACAAAGATGCATATGTTCATACTATAACCTCTCTAAAATCTTCAAAAGGGGGGCACATATATCAGCATTACATATAGCAATTGAAAGACTCAGGCACGGGTAAACACTAAGTTCATACATCGAAATTAGTTGAAGCTACAAGGAAATACAATTGAGCTACATGCAACATGAATAACTAAATACTGAACACTGATAGCAATTCATCCACATTGAAAATGGAAATGGGATGTGCCATAAATGCCAAAAAAGGTCATAAATTACAGAGAATCCGCAGGCAGATGCATAATTCTGATGCTCATACAATTGACAAGTAACAAGTAAATATTATTTAAAGATGTGCATACTGTGTAAACTTGTACTCTTGCTTCACACACATACACACACTAGTATACATAGAAGACTCCAATGTGGGCAGCAACTTTGACATTGAAAAGGTTCAATCGAACAGGTGACAACCACGTGATTAAATTTTTCATCATAACTCTGTTAGATCTCAGAACCGTGAATACCTGTTCCTTATCCACAAATAATATGAACTTGGCATATGTTTTTTTCTGTGATCTTCAGACGTTACCATTCATAACTAGGATTTTACAGAACAGCTATACACTGGTCAGATCATATTAAGTTGCAGGTTAACATTTTATTGTTTCACAAATAAGAAAAGGCTGCTTACCTACAAATCCTAAATGACAAGATATGATGTGCGTTTTGGTTTCTTCTCTAATTTAACATTAACTTTACAACACTAGAGGAAGGGGATAAGATTTCAAACCCTAAACCTAGCTAGCAACACGAAGGGTTAACCAACTTGATCTGAAAATTGATTATGAAAATTTAACGGAAAAATAAGAACTGAAATGGATAATCTTATATTGAAAAGATTTATAATATGGTTTGATGATAATAGATTACATAAATTCTTAAAGAATATGAGTTTTACGATGTTACTACTTTTCTAAAGTCCAAATTCAACTCTAATCTCACAAATACTTGTTTCAAGTTTCAGATAATCAACTATACCCATGCTTCTTTCCTCCTATCAAACGCTATACAAATGGCAACTCAAAAGGGAAGTTCAATTTTTGACAAAATAATTGATAGCTTCATAGCATGATATCAAGTAGCATGTCCGTGTAATAACCAGATAGACCAAAACGGCAAAAACTAGAACTGAGGTGAAAAAGGGCTAGGTCAAGTTTAACTCACTTCGATTCCAAAAGATGACTTGAAATCGTAGAAGGATCTCACTCGAAGAAGCGAAGTGGCCCAAAGCTCCGCATCTGAGCATGCTTCTTCCAACTTCAAAGCCGATTTATCGATCCTTATTCTCTCAAATTGCGTGCACAACTCCTGCTGCTGTGCGGCAACCGTACACCACCAACGACCACCACATTTACTCTGTTTTAGCTCACCTTTATTCCGACCGTTGACCGATTGTAATGGAAAACAGTGTGGTAGAGTCAGAACCGCCATTTTTCTATCCTCTCTGTCTCTAAGTCTAACAGAGTGTGCGCGCCATTGGTTGTCGGATGTTATCTTAGAAGTTCAAACATCACCCATTAAAATGGGCCCTAATTTTACTGGACCGAGGCCCCCATATACTTAAAAGCTTTTAAGACCCGTTTACCAAAGGTTTACTGAGTAAGTGCTTACCAAATCACATTCTTTTACCAGATGAATATAAAAAGAACCAAGAATCTTACCTGGTAAGAACGAAGGCAAGGACCGAAAGTCTTATCCGGTAAGTGATGGCGACGACTCTTACTAGGGTTAGCGCTTACCGGGTAAATTGTTACATACGATGACGTTTTGGTAGACTAAAATCTTACCCGCTAAAGTAAACGATAGAGTTGAATTTAACCGTTAAACACTTACCGGGTAAGTGTTTAGGTAAATGGCCCCTAAGTTTATACTATATTATAAAGCATTTGACAAAAACTCTTAAAAATCATTCTTTTTGCATGAAGTACTGTTTATTAATGCATATTACTTAAAATTTAAGATTATAAGTAAATTGTGCGTAAATACAACTTATTAAAGCTTCATTTTTGAATTCGTATAACTAACTGCAGATAAACATAATCAAACTCCGGATAAATATCTTATTTTAAATATAATTTTTTAAAATATAATTAGAATAATCATTGAGTTCTAACATAATTTTTAACTATTATCCTTATAAAAAATCATATTATTAAATCAAAAATAAATTACTTTGTTATTAAATCTAAACTAAATTATAATACAAAAATTGAATTAAAGAAATTACACAAAAACTTTTAAATAGTTAATTTAATACTAATATTGATATATTTATTTTCAAAATTTTATGATATCTTCAAATTTATATTTTATTCATAAATAAAAACATTATCTCCTTTTTAAAACCACATAAAAACCGCATTATAACATATTCGGATAAAGAATAAAACGAAACATTAAAATCGAGATATATTTTGCTGCATTCCGCGAGTACCCTTCTAGTAACTTTAAATAAGTATTAAATTAAAGTCATAATTTCTCTCCTGAGCGTAATAGATAATGAATTTAATTAAAAACTTAGTTAAAAAGGCTGCTAAGGACCTTCGATTTTATGTGTGGCAACTCGTTTGTATCATGTGTGGGGTCTCATATTGTCGTATGCCATGTCACTACTGATGTCCGATCCCAAACACATATATAGAACAGTTTTATACATAATATTTCTATAATATACTAAACATGTATGACATACATAGCCTTTAAAAAGATGTAGATGGTAAAGTTTAAACAAATAGCACCCTCCTGCAACCCTGCAAAATTCTAAAGAATTTACATATACATGTACTTCGGTTTAGAAATTTGTGTCAGGTTAGTAGCCTTAAGAGTTCCTCCTCCTAACTCTACATACACAATGTATAACACAGGTTCTAGGGTTAAAGCTCAAATCGTTTTTTTATAAAAGATAGTGTCAAGTGAAGGTCTTGCTAAATAACAAACGTATTCAGCGTGCCCATGTGTTTCACATGTTTTCTTCTCATTTTATAGCATAAATGGCATCATTTTTGTATCTGGTTCTAGCGTGTCTCATGCATTTTTCTTAATTTTTTATAACTTTTTTCTCTTTTCAATGTATTTTACTTTGTAGCAAGTATTTTCACGTTTTTGCGAGTATTTTCAGTGTATAGGTGTATGTCGACTCGAGAAAGAGAACAAGAAAGGAAGTGCAAGCGGTGTAGAAAGTGAAAAAGATGAAGAAAAGGAGTTGGAAGTTGCTCACGTCCATGAGTAATTAAGTTGCATGGCCACAAGCAAGAGGAATTCTGGATTTTGACAACTTTGCGCTACTCATGGTTGGGAGCGTTTTAGGCACCCGCCCGTGAACTCCGTTGTAGGCCCTAAAAATATGTTTTTACCTGGGGTTATTTCGGTCATTTGGTCCTGCATATTTAAGGTTTTTTGTGCTTCATTTTAAGGATTAAGTCTCTATAGTACGTTTTCCCAATTTTAGGATTTCCATTACGTGTTATAGTAGATTTTTAGCTTAGTTTTAAGAAGCTTACAAAATCCGGATTTAAAGCTCTGCCAAGTATTGTACTCGATTTTGGGAATGAATCTATGAATTAAAGAGTAACTGTATCTCCTTCTCCCTTTTATGCTCTGTTTTATTTCTTAATTTATGTTTCGAGCTTAGATTTTTTACTTTGATTGTGGATTTCAATTCTCTGCAACTATTTGTTCCATAGGTCTAAGATTCTTCAAGTAATTTCATTATTTTTAAGTGAGTAGTTGTGTTATTTGATTTGTAGCAATGATCCAACCTTTTGATAATTGATCGTGCTCAACTAGCAAATATTTGTGAGTAAATATGTGCTTATTCTCTTGTCTACCCGTGTTCGACCCATATGCAATGATGTCGTACTCTTATGGTTACAAATTATTTCAAAACTCAAATCAGTTTTTGAGATTGTTGTCAGGAAGCAATTAAAGTAACATAAAATATAGCTTATAGTAATACCATGATACATTTTCATATTTTTCTACCATTTGTGGTTTGTGTTGAATAAATTTACGTTCGTGTTCTGCAAGGGTGTAACAAATAACAAAGACATTCAACACGATTGTGCAGAAGACACAATATCTTCTATATATGGTTTTCTGATACAAGCACACACACACACACACATATATATATATATATATATATGTGTGTGTGTGTGTGTGTGTGGACAGAGAGAGAGAGAGAGAGAAATGATCGTATGATAAAAAGAGTTAAGGTGGGAAGCGTAAGAAGAGATCTTCACCCTTGATCACTTTTAATCTCATGCCCACTAATGAATTGTGATTTAGAAAGTAATTGATCTGGTGCATTTCATTGATGTTGATATTCGATTATGATTGATCCAAATGTGGAAATCTCTTCTTACCTTTTCTATCATAACTTGTTTTTTCACCGAAACCCATCGCTATATATATATATATATATAAAGAGAGAGAGGGGTATATATATATATAATAATGAGTGAACTCCATAAATTTGTGATAACCATGGGAACTCTT